ATTTCGATCATATCCCGGATGTCACTCTGAGGGAGATTAGAATGGCTCTTCATCATTATCATCATCATCATTAAAGCCCTTCACAATTCCACTGCTGATCAAAGGCCTCCCTAAATGAATGCAAAGCACGGTCCTGAGTCACATGCAACCATCGACTTCCTGCATGTTTTACCAGAACGTCAGTCTGTCTAGTGAGGAGTCATCCTACACTACGGCTACCGGTACGAGGGTGCCACTCGAGAACCTTTTTTTCCCCATCCGTTGTCAGTTCTTCGAGCTATATGGACGGCCCATTGCCACTTCACTTTATACGTGTTAGAGCCATGCTGCAGTTATATTAGTAGTACGTTGCACGAATGCGTCGACTCGACCGGGGAAGGACCACGCTCTCACAGAATACTGTTGCTACTGCTACTGCTGTGTTTCGTATGGTGGGTGTAGAGTACCGGAGACCCTTTTTACTGGAAAGTAAGCATTCTATCGTAGTCCTCGGGGGTGACAACGCATCTGCATTTTGATTCGTAATCAAGGATAGATGTAGATGTCTATGGGCCACAGCAGCCGCTTACCATCAGGTGAACTGTTGGCTCGTTTGTCACTCTATCATATAAAAAAAAAAACTTCAGTTTACTAATCCGTTGGGCTATGTAGGTTGCTGGGATTCTACTGCGGATATCCGCATTACTATATTGATCACGCAAAAAAAAAACCCCGAGCATGCCCTTCTTAGCTCGCAGGGTGACTTTGAGCTTCCTCATACGGCCAGCAGCAAGGATATTACGGATGGCTCTTCAGCACCTTAAAAACGGCAAGTTCCATAGCGAGAATGGAATTATAGCGGAGCTTCTAAAAGCGGGTGGAAAATCAGTACTTAATGTCCTTCAGAAGATCTTTAATTCCGTCCTCCATGGCGGTAATACACCAGACGCGTGAAGCAGAAGTGCAGTGGTCTAGTTCTTCAAGAAAGACGACAACGCTCTCTTGATGAAGTACAGACCGAGTTTTCGAGAGTTATTACGAATAATCTCGCACGCAGACTCGGCAAATTCCAGCCTCCCTAACAAGCCGGTTTCCGAAAAATGTTTAGCACTATAGACCACTTACATACCATTCGGCAAATTGTACAGAAGACCGAAGAGTACAATCTGCCACTTTGTCTTGCGTATGTGGAATATAAGAAAGCCCTTGATTTCGTCGAAATGTGTCTCGTAAGCGGTGCCAAGTTGACTGTCAGTATGACGAAGTGCTGAAGTATTTGTACAGTAGGGCTACGATGGCATGATTAACATTAATGGCGAGTACTTCACTCACCGTCGATTTGCCTACGATATAGTCCTTACGGCAGAATCGCTGGCGGACCTAAGCACTACGTTCAATGACCTCAATAGTGTCTCCCAACGGATAGGTCTTAAGATGAAATTGGACAAAACAAAGATCATTTGTAACGTCCATGTCACACCTATGCCTGTAGTTGTTGGGAGCACTAAGCTCGAAGTTTTTGACGAGTATGTCTACTTGGGACAAATAGTCCGACTAGATAAGTCCAACTTCGACCGAGAGGTCAATCGACGGATTCAACTCGGCCGGGTAGCATTCGAGAGGTTACGACACAGCAGAGCGTGATGCTAGTGATGACTTATGGATCTGAGACGCGGTTCTTCACTGCTAGCCATATGAAAAACCAGGATATCCGCAGTAAAACCAGAGTAATAGAGTAGCACTAGAGTAAGCCTTGTAGCTCGAAGAACTGACATCCGGTGGGGAAGAAAGTTTCTCGAGTAACAGCTTCGTACTGGCAGGCGAAGTGTAGGGCATCCCCTCACTATATGGGGTGAAGATCTGGTAAGACATGCAGAAAGTCAATGGATGTAGGTGGCTTTGTGGCGTTCCAAAAGGGATGCCTATTTTCTGCAGAGGACTTGTGAAGCGCTGTAATGAAAAATGATGAGTGAATTCTCTTACGCCGCCACTACCCGGACGCGATATGTTCTTTATTATGTTAACTTTTTTTAACGGTGGTAGAGCCACGCGGCAGGCATTGTTGTTGCAGATATGGGCCGGCTCCATAGAATACTATAATACCTATATACATAATAAATATAACGGGGCAGTGGGCGGAGCCCGTGTAGCTACTAACATGTCAATTCACACCCATAAATGTCAACACAATCAATCGTTTCCAATTTTCGTTTCCAAGCGTCAAGCTCGAAACGGGGTGGAACAACGAATTCACAGCGTGATCTGCTTCTGCATTTCATCTGGTGAGTGCAAGTGACTGAAGGCCCATTCCCCCGGCTCCCCGTAACATGGTAGCGGAGTAAAATAAAAGACTACACCAGGAGGGTACTGGCACCCTCGGTGATGGAGAATCCCTCGCTGAGCATCCACGCCCAAGCTCACTTACTCTTCCTGAGCGTGGGTGTTCAGGTTACCCCGTGTAATCTGGGGGGGAGACGAATTCCCGCTCGAGACTAAACCTGCTCGGAGCGAACGGAGCAATCAGTCAAAGGCACCCCCTCCCACGTTATCTGTGTATTTCCGCAACATCAGGGGACTCCATTCAAACCTCAATTCCGTGCACTACAATCTGGAAACGACGAAGCCAGCTTTGCTCTTTCTGACGGAGACACAGGTGTCCTCTCCAGCTGATACTTCGTATCTCTCATACCCGGAGTACAAATTAAAACACTCCTTTGTGCCCCGGGCTGGAATTTGCGTGCACTTCAGGACATCTGTTTTCTGCGCCTCGGCAGCCTTGAAGGTACGGGGCTGTCCATATTATGACTGCGCGTAGATAGCGACGACCATCCCCGCGTCTACGGGTGCCTCTATAGGTCCCATAGTGGTAATGCCGACGCAGACCAACTCATCGACCACATCCAAATGCCTGCTGACTCCATGATACAACAAGTCCAATCCGCATGGATACTACTATAGAGTACTTAGCGATTTTAGCCTACCACGCTAAATGGCTTGGTTTTCTTTTAACCGATCATACGGGTAGATCTGCATATGATTTTGCTTTGCGATATGGTCTGACACAACTGGTTACCTCGCCTACGCGGATCCTAAAAGTGAAAGGTCATGTACCTCCTCCTTGGACCTTCTGCTGACCTCTCATCCGGGTGGATATCAGGTATCCGTTGATGTCCCTGTTGGCTCCTCGGACCATTGTCTGATCCAGAGTACGGTGCCACTCAAGCTCCCATTTGCGGTTGCGTTCTGCAGGTTGCCGCCGTGTTTGGCATTATAGTCAGCTGATTGGGACAGGATGCGATCTTTTTTTGCATCCCACCCGTAGTAGCGGGTTTGTCTGCCGAATGATCTCAGCATTGTTACTGATTTTGTTGCTGATGTGGTGCAGCAGGGAATGGAATTTTTAATTTCATCATCTGTGGTACCTATCTTCCAGACCTTTAGACCAATATTCCTTTCATTTTTCAGGTCGAAATTTCCAAACCGGAAATGGGCAAACCATTAAACAGGTTTCCAATTTGTTCCAATTCCAATTCGTTTGTACTATTAGCTCTGTAAACGTCGTTGACGTTGCGTGCCTCTTGTGCCACGTTGCTGCCACGACGGTACTCATATTCCATAATCACTCGAATTTTAACGTGTCCATAATGAAGAAAAAGTTTCAAATGCGGTGAAAACATACTGCTCATTAATAAAGAAACGAATAGTTTTGGAAAAGAATTCTATTTATTTTTATAAAAATTGATTTAAAATTAGAATTCTTAGCCAAACAAAAATTATTTTCATTTGAAATGGTCAGTACTTCAGAAAGGTACGGTACTTTACAGGTGCTATATAATTATCATGCGTACTGGCCACAAATATTATCAAATGCAATTAAAAAAAGGGAAATCTTGGAATGTATATTTTTTCAGAATTTCATTTGTTTTTTTTATTGCATTCTTTCACAATGCGACATTTTGTGCCAAATTTAAATTTGAGCTTAAATTTAGATCTTGTTAAAATGTTTGCCTTGACTGCCTTGTTTATCGTGTTAAGTTATTACTGTAAACAAACTGAAAATGCCAGATCTAAACGCCACGCTAGTTGCTAGGGCTGTTACTTGCACGATAGGGACATAAACGGAAAACTGTAGCCAGAGATGACCGGTTCATCGTTACCAGCGTGCTTAGAGACCGGTCCGTAACTATTTTCTAAGATTAGTACGATGCTCCAGGAAGTTCAATAAGTAAATCGGCCGGAATAAATTAATGTCATTAGATCGTTATTTTTCGACGTTTCTAAGCTTAATTTAACGAATGCGAATTAAATAACTAATTATAAACGAATAAATTAAATCCAAATTAATAAACTTACGTTATTGTCACAAATATCCTTGATATTTTGTTTTATACTCAATTATTATTCGTTCCTCTAAATTTGTCCACAAGTATAAATGATAATAACCATAACTCTTAATTAGATCTTAAAATGCTTACCACTTTTTGATACTGATGTCTGGAAAAAATATCACGTACTCAATTTTTTTTGCGTTCTAAATTTATCCACAAGTATAAATTACAATAAACGTAAGTCTTAATAAGATCTTAAAATGCTAACCACTTTTTCATATTGATGTCTGGAAAAAATAATATGAAGAATAAAACAAAATGTTGAAATTATAATTTATAATTTTATTTATTTATTTAACCTTTTCTATCTTTTGAAAATAAATTATGACAAAATAGAAGCAATACAGTAGGCAGGATTTGTGTCCTTGTGCAATTTATTACATACTATAATTTTATGTATATTGAGTACACCGCCTTCACGATACGAGACAATATTCTAATACAATACTTTGTTTTTAATTTAAAGGCAGACGTTTGTTTGCTGATTTAAAAAACTGAGAAGAGGTCAAATTTTTCACTATTAACGTTCATTCATCAGTCATCAATTTAAAGTGTTTCATCTTTTGAATACTTTTTGTCTATGTAAAATGCAGTATTCAAAGTTGCTGTTTTTAAAAACTTAGTAGAAATTATTTACTGTTTCGTTATATTTATCACCAAGGCACCATGTTCATCTGGAACTGGAACATTCAAAATAGATAGCTTTTCTCCATTGATGGAGTCATTTTTCAATATATCTGACTCGACAGTTGTAGATACATCAGCGATTACTTGTTCTGTTACTTGCGTTGTGATAGTTTGTTCTGTACTAACTTCCGATACAATATTTGTTTTAACAAACGGTTCATCAGTTGTCACTTTTATATCGATTGATTGTTGTTTTAAATTTATTGATTCTGTGTTTAATTGGGCATTATCGACACGAATAGTAAATTCAGCAGCAATTGGGGTTTGTTGTGTTACCTCGAATACTTCACTAGCAATTGACGTTTGAGTTTCACTGGAAGATCTAGAGAGGTTAGGTGCTTTTACTTCATTAACGATATTACTAACTTCCGTGATTGTTTTTTGTGTAACATTATCATTCAAATTAGAAATATTTGATCTATCGGTGACAATAGTGTGTTTAACTTGTGTTGTGTCATTAATAGGCAGTAAATTAGACAAAATACCATCATCCGCTGAAGTAATTGAAACTTTACCTTCTGTTAGAACCGCATTACTTGTAACAATTATGGGGGTATTTGTTACCGAAGACAAAATATCACCCATGCCAATGTTTGCACCATAAGTAGCTATTTTCATTTCAGATTGGACTAACATAGAGCTCGTAGAGCCTAGATTAGAAATAATTAGAGAATCAGGTGTTTGATTTAAGCTCTCGTTATTATCAGCTACAGTAACATTAGAATTTTCATGATGTGATTGCGAATTATCTATTAGGACTAATTCCAAGGTATGAGGAGATACAAAATTGTCAGCAGTTTCAACAGTAAAACTTCCAGATTGATCAGACACACTGACGCTTGAGTTACCAGAAACTGTTGTTAGGTCTTTAGAACGTACGCTCAAAACATTTGATAAATTTGAAGTTGAGTTTGTATTGTTCGCAGTAGTAGCGCTGTTTTCAAAATATTGTAATGAACTCTCCTTAGGTACAAGTTTAGTAGCATCTGTGTATTCAGATTTACTTGATTGTTGAATTTTGTTATCATTTATTGAACTCTCAGATGTAGGTAAATAGTTTTCTGTATCAGTCTCATTACTGGCAATTATATTTCCTTTTTCCTTAGGTTTTGAATTAGAAATATTCATACTATCAATTTTCTTTGATTTAGTACCATTTTCAGAACCTTCACTTTGCTCATAGAGTGAAATAATTTTGTGAGGTGAACTTGTGATAGTATTGACAATACCAATAGAATCACTTTGGCTACTTAATAAACTATTAGCGTCAGAAGCTACTTCAGTGAAGGGTGATACAGTATCAGAAGTGATACCTGCGGTTGTTGGGGGAAAAGTAGCTATTTCACTGATTATCTGAGGTAAGTTATTAAAATTTAAGAATCCAATAACTGAAGGTTGACTGCTTTCCAGATTATTAGATGATGGTTCAGAAGCACTGGATAAATTAGTTGAAACTGAGACAGTATTTTCAGACTTGTCTAAAGGGAGATTAGCTGTTGTGATATTATCTACAGAATTCGAAGTGATATCAAATCTAGCAATATTGAAATTGTTTTGGCTTAAATCCGTATTATTTTCGTTTAAGGAATCCCCAAGTCGGACTGTATTTGATGATGAAATTCCAAAGAAGCTTGAATCTGTGATTACATTATTAGGACCACTGGATAAATTTTGACTGTCAGCAGCCACTTTAGATGAATAATTGTACGGAGAGCTGCTGATATTTTTTGATGAAGATTCAGTGATATTAGATTCATCGTTTGAAACTGGGACAGCATTGCCAGTTATCTCAACAGTAGCAGATGATGTGATGTTATCTGCAGAAACCACAAAGATATTATTTCCAGTGTTAGATACATTTTCATTAGTGTTATTACTATTTAAATTTGAATCAGAAACGTTGCCCTCTAATGTTGAAACATTGGGGGTGTTTATGTTCAAATTTTCATTATTCATATAAGTTGATTCGATGACGTTTTTGGAACCCTTGGATTGTGCAGTGTCCGACGAAATAATTTTATTTGAGTTTGAATCGGCGAGTTTACTGATTAAAATATTGGATATACCTTCACTGCTAAATGTCTTCTTAAAATTAGTAGGCACTTTAGTTTTGGATGAAGCAATGTCATGAGAGTTATTGATTGTCAATGAAGAAATATCTGTTTCTTTTCTTGTCATAGATACGTCTTTAGAATTTGTTAACTCATTAAATGGCGTTTGACTGTTTTCTGATCCACTTGATGATGACTTTAAAACTATTGAAGAATCATTTGAAACTGCCGCAGCGTTTTCATTTTTCTTAAAAGAGGGAGCAGATGATGTGCTATTTTCTGCAGAAAGCACTAGGAGATTATGTGCAGTTTTAGGAAGTCTAGAAGAAATATGTTCCACATTTTTATTGAAGTTGTTATTTATTAAAGCTGGATTATGAACTTTTATATCGTCTGTAAATGTCTTGGAATCAAAAGTTATACTAAGAGGAGAAGAGTTTTCATTTAAAATGCTAACAGCCTCAACTATAGATGAATCAATGTCACTGTTAGTTGCTGTATCTACTTGTGTTTCACTTTCAATAAGCCAGTCAGGCAATATTTTTGATAAAAGCTCCTTTACAGTTTCCAAGAATAATAAATGATCGGCAAAGTCTTGTTTCGCAACTGTAACCCATGGTAAATTAACATTGTTAAGGACTTCCGTCTTATTTTTTAATTCTTCAATATCCTTTTCCAAGTTTACGCGTATTTTTTGAACTCCCACTTTAGTTATATAATTAACCAACTGATTATGTAATTCATTTCGTTGTGATATCGTTTGTAATTTTCTATTAATAAGATTTAGCACTGCTTGACGACGTTCATTTGCCGTGCTGTTAGCTTTCAAACCTAGTTCTTCTTGCATGTACCTCCTTAATGCAGCTAGCTTTTCTAAATTCGTATTGAACTCAGTTATACCGTATTTTGAATATATATGGTTTTTCCAAAAATCTCCTAATTTTATAGAATCATCTGAATCTAATTCTGAAACATTAACATTCACTTTTTGTATTTTAAACATATTTCCTTCTATTTCTTTCATCTGTTTTTCAGTCTTCTCTTGCAATTTTCGTTCATTTTTCAGATGTTTTTCCTGCAATTTTCTCTCTTTTTCTTCCAATTTTCGCCTTTCTTTTTCTAACTTTTCTTCACGTCTTTGCTCTTCTTTTCGCCTGTTTTCTTCTTCTTTACGCAATTCCTTGGCAATTTTATCTTCAAGCTTTCGTTGCTCTTCTTCACGTTTTCGTTGTTCTTTTTCTTGTTTTTCTAATAATTTTAACCTAGACTTTTCAAGCTTTATTAGGCGCTTAGATTGCTCTTTTCTGAATTTTTCTTGGAGAATAACTTCGCCGACATCTTCATTATCATCGCCATCATTGTCATCATCATTACTATTTGAATCATTGTCTTTAGATGACATTACAGATTCTTCGGTGTCAGATCTTTTGTAGCGGTTTAATAATTGATTAGGATCATTACTATCCGGTAAATACTTTGCACTCACTGCAAATGCTGCAACCTGAAACAATATAGATTTAACATAATTTATTAAAATCATAATACTGTGTATACTTTAATAGTATTTTTGTTACATAACTAATCCAATAGTTAATAACATAAATAATTGAACAGTTGCAATTATAAAAGTTTTTAAATCAAATACAGTTAATGGTTATAAAATATTTCGAATTCAATTAACCTAAATCCTTTTAACCAAATAATCTTTGTTGAAACGAATAAATTGTCACAAATACAAATTACTATTTGCGCAACCGCGCTAAGATTTTTGTACGACACAAATAAAATACTGCCAAGTCATTACTTTAAAATATAAATCTAAAACTGAAGCCTGTTCTTACAAGGTAGAAAGAAAAATGTATTGCCTACTACAAGAAAACTAGTATATAAAATCCTCCTACCTAATTTCGATAAAATCGAAGCTTCGAAAGCTATCAACTGCACAATAGATATTATAGCGCCCAAGTATTATTGGATATTCTACTTTTTCCGTGGAGCAGCATATAAAACTCTAACATAATATGATTAAAAGTTGGTACGTACCATCAAGTGGGATAAATTTTCACACTCAATATCAAAATAAAATCAGAAGCAATAATTTTTTGGTGTTAACTAAGCGTGGAATAACGAGACTAGTGACGTAGTTGCCAGGTATTTTGCCGCTATGATTCTTAACATAAAATAACAATAATTAAAACTGAAAATACGCTGCGTTTGCAACATAAAAGTTACAGTATATAGGTATCATTAATAATATTATAAATGCGAAAGTACAAGAGAAAAACTTCTTGGTTCGTCCTTTCTTTACACAGTAACGGAGCAACAAATCGACATGACTGTTTGCATGAACATAGTTGGGTCGTAGAGTGACATGTTTTATCCCCGTTAAATTCACGATTCCTAAGGAATAGATCTGGAGCGTAATTTTAAAGGATTTTAATAAAACTAAATACTAGTGTGTATTTAGATTTTTCGATAAGTTTAATATAACCTTCATATTTATGCAGATTAATTTATTACATTACATTTATTTTGTGTAATCGATATTATCATAGTATGTAGTTTCGGTGTAAGAGCATCTACTATCTACTATCTACTCTCTATCTACTATCTACTCCTGTATCGTCTTGTGGGTGTCGTAAGAGGTGACATAAGGAAACAAACCAAGATATGGACAGGAACGTCTGCTTAACAACAACTACAATATTTAAAAAAAAAACTGCGCATGCCAACACGCCATCGAACAGTGACAGCTATAGCTAATAGCACCTATATAAAGCAAACTTAGAGGAGGCTTATATTCTGCATTGGACTTTTATATACCGTAATGAATGAATTAAGAAATGAATCGCTCATAGCTATGCTTGGATCCGATACGTAACGCTGTCAAGTACGAGTATTGACAAATTCTATCCTATACTATTAAACGAGCAATTCTTGTATATATATATATATATATATATATATATATATATATATATATATAATCGAGATCTCGGAAACGGCTCCAACGATTTTCATAAAATTTAGTGTCCAGGGAGTTTAGAGGATAATAAATCGATCTAGCTAGGATTTATTTTTAGAAAATGTCTTTTTGTCCGTGTTTTTAGGCAATGAAAACTGCTACAATATCGTTACAATAAGAAGGTAAATTGTGACAGATTGTTAATGATTATAAATAATAAATAGCTTAATTGGTATAATGGGCGGTCACAGAATCGTAAAACCCCGGTTCTCGAGCCCAGACCGACCGACTTTTTTTTAATTTTTTTTAAGTTCTTTTCTTTTTTTCAGAAAAACTATTTTTTCGAGCCCTTTTTTAGTATTTTTTTAAAAACACGAAAATTTAAATTAAAATAATTGCACTCATGATTTTTTATTCAAATAACCAGTTCCGTTTTTTCTGTTATGTCGCTAAGATCAAAAAATATTATTTATATTTCATCAGTATGTAATTTGTATCTAAATATAATTTCCAAAACACACGAATTAAAAAAAAATCGAGCGAAAAATACCGAGCAAAGCTCGGTCAACCGGGTACTATTTTTTATAGACCGAAATTACTCATATTCACGAAATAGGTTGTTTTACCGCTAAAATAAAAAATTACATGATCCGGATTGGATAGGTTGCGCTGCAGTCGCGTTATAATTACTTTAAATTTAATTTTATAAACAAATCAAACACATTGCGACAACTACCGGAAAGGGCAGAACAAGGTTCGCAGATTCAGAATTATTTTAAAGAGTAGTAACTTTTTTTTTGCAAAACTATGTTTGAACCTACTTCAAGTAAAGATGAAGGTGCTCAATTCGTCGGAATTTTTTTATGTGAGGACATGATTGTTTTATTGTTAGAATCGGGTACTTCAGGGGTAATCCCATATAATTATGGTCATGACCATATCATCAAACTTAACAATTGAATACTATTACAAATCAATGTTTAAAAAGTCCAGCGGGGTTTCTTGCTGGTACTTCCTGTTACTGTTACCATTACAGCCTATTAAAACATAGACCTCTACCATGCATTGCCTCATTGGAGAGATATTTGCCTTAGTTGCCACGCTTTCTAAGCGGGTTGGCAACCGAAGTTTTTTATTTTTGCTCGTTACTAGAAAGACGCTGTCGCTCAAATCCTGGTTTATTTCCCTCTGTAGCCTCTTACGTCACCAAGGGACGGTACGAGATAGTGGATATTCTTACGCCGCCACTACACGGTTCTTCCCAGGACAGAGATTTTTTCCCGAACCAGTGGTAACACTTAAATGACGTTCAATAGGTATTCTCTTCATCTATATTATATAAAAATTATTCTATTTTATTCGATTCCATTCATAAATTTGCAAAGGCCTACCAGCACGACAAATGGCCAAATATTTCTTTACCACGTCAACCGATTGCCATCACATTCTTTTTAGTTATTTAAAATCGGTTTATACTTTTTAAACTTTTAAATATTGTAAATCAATTTACTAATCATTATAATTCACTGTGTGAACAGATATAATGTGGATCTTATTTTTTAATTTAAATTATTTCGGCGGATTCATTTAAAATAATTTTTTTAATATTATGTTTCCTTTTAGTTAGATTTAATTTTGTTCTATTCTTTAATTAATCAAATTTAACCAAGTTAAAATATTTAATTATTTAATAATAAATTATAACAAAAAAGTTTGATATGATTTATCAGCAAAATAATAAATAAGTATCTAAAGAAAGGGTTACCTAATGATTTAAGGGTAGCGATCGCTAACTCGAAAAGTCGAGGGTTTAATTTCATTCGACTACTATCTTAACACAAGTAATTTAAGTTAACGGTAGTGTTAGTAATGATATCAGCGTTACTAGTATTCTTTTAAATATAATGAGCTAACATTCCTTTCGAAATTTCTTTTACATATTATTATTATTTAATTATAGAATCAAGATTCAATTTAGATATTAAAATATTTTAGAGAAAATCATTACTTACAATAAGCAGCAAAATTAAAATCCTCATTGTGACTTAACTAAACTTTCCTTATTTTCGAATTTCGTTCGTATCACAATAGTTCAAAAAAACTTGTGTTTCTTTGAAGCTCGTTCGTAACTAACAATACCAAATTACTTTAAAGCAGTCTTATATATTTACCTTAACAGTTAGCATTGATAACACAAGATAATTATTGTAAGATAGACAAGTACACATCTCCTAACCAAACAACGTGTTTTCGCGAAGACTGACTCAAAATAAACAATGTTCTTACTGTCATAATTTAGTAATGCTATAGAAATACAAAAGTATCAATAAGTTACCGGATGTTTACCAGTAATTAACGCATTAAACGGCAACATTAAGCCCTCACTGTTTAGTGGAAATTTAGACAATACTTATGTCTTGTCGAAACGGTAAATAATGTGCGTAATTAAATTAACCAAATAATTAATTATTTAACTCACAAAATTATTTAGCTTCTTAGTGCAGTGGCTTGGCCATGAATTGCAGCACTAAGGGCCGCGGGTTTGAATCCCGCACGGAAAAAGTAATTGTATGACCCATAATTAACCGTTGTAAACTGCCCCTTCGATAAAGTAAAGTAAAGTAAAGTTACAGCCTATATATGTCCCACTGCTGGGCACAGGCCTCCGCTCCAGGCTCTCATTTCTGAGAGGATTTTTGGAGCAAGGAAGTGTCCACCGCGCTGCCTCAATTCGTGTTGGCGAACTTCACATGTCTTCGAAATATTTTTTTCTTATTCCTCAGACATGCAGGTTTCCTCACGATGTTTCCCTTCACCGCCGAGCACGTGGTAAATCAGCACTTAAAATTGCAAATAACAATTTCATTGGTGCTGGCGGGGATCGAACCCGGGTTACTCGCATTCTGTTATATTTACAGCGAGCGTTAACCATCTAGCTACCACGGCGCCCACGGCCCCTTCGATACAGAAGAAAATATTTAAATGGTAGTAAATTTAAACTTAAATTATAATGTGTCGTAAAAACTGATTTTTATAGTATATAAGTAAACGAATACAAACTTCACCTGATGGTAAGAGGATGTTGCGGCATATAGACATTTACACCTATCCTTGATTAAGAATCTAAAAGCAGACGCATTGTCACCCTGAAGACTATACTTTGTTGAATAAAATGAAACGAAAGGATAGGTTGGTGGCGTTTAATGAATTGTGTTACACATAATATGTTTATCATTAGGCAGATCTAATTAAGAATAGCTCTCAGAAAACCGCCTGCATCGTTTGGCGTTTTGAAAAAAAATTCAATTTTAAAATTTATCCTCGATTAAAAAACAAAATTCAGATGCTTTGTCACACATGAAGACTCGCCTCGGCGACCTATCCATCTTATGACTGCCCGTAGACATCCCAAAGTGGTAAATCGCCCAAAATGGGAATGCCGACACAGACCGACTCATCGACCACGTCCAGATGACTGCAGACTACGTGCTACAACTGGTCCCATCCGCAGAAATCGTGATGCTTGGTGATTTTAATTCCCACCACACTTAATGGCTTGGTTCTCGTTTAACAAACTAAAAGATTAATAAAAACCCTGGTAAAAACAAATTATGGTTGAGGTGAAGAATTGACGCTCTGGGAAGTCTGCAGTCTGTGAACACGTACAGGATCACCCCTGACATATCAGATTTAACCATAAATCCTCGAAAAAAAATCACCGATTCCTACAAAAAAAATCATTTTGACTTTGCCACTCGTACCGCGGGTGCTGTAATAGGCGACAGAGGAACACTAAAAAGGAGATGGGTAACAGCATCTTACTTTAATGAATTAAAAATGATAAAAAAAACTACGATTGCCAGCGCGCATGTGAAGTGTGGCAATATGGAGGAGGCCTATATTCAGCAGTAGACTTTTAAGAGGTTAGAGTAAGTCAGCTCAAATTCTAATTTCGCCCCCACTTCCCCGCGCGTCGTATGCTATGTACCGAAATATTTGTAATCACTAATACTGTATGTAGAAAGGTCGTTAGACACTTATTTCATTAGGTTTATCATATTTATGCCTGTTTCTTAAAGCCAAGCCAGCCGCTTCTTATTTTTATCACGGTTATTTCCCATTTTAATTTTACGTCGTACTGTTGCGTAATGTATATTCTGATCGTAAGCGACACAACTTCTCCCTTCAAAGCCTAAGCGATACTAACGGAACGACAGGAATCAAGCTCAAGCTCAAATCATTAAGCTCTCTTCACCGCTGCATTCGAAGACGTTTTCAAGTTACTTGACTGGAAAGGATACGGTATGAACGTAAATGGCGAGTATATCCTTCACCTTCAATTTTCCGACGATATAGCCCTTATGGCAGAATCGCTGGAGGACCTTAGCACTACGCTCAATGACCCCAATAGTATTTCCCAACGGATAGGTCTTAAGATGAACACACCTATGCCTGTAATTGTTGGGAGCTCTAAACTTGTAGTTATTAACGAGTATGTTAGGTAAGTCCAACTTCGACCGAGAGGTCAATCGATCGATTCAACTCGGCTGGGCAGCGTTCGGGAGATCACGACACATCTTTTCGTCAGGCATACCCCAAAACCTCAAAACTAGATTGTACAGCCAGTGTGTGTTGCCAGGGACGATCTTTGCATCTGAGACGTAGTCATTCACTACCACCACAGCGAGCTATGGAGAGGGTTATGCTTGACGTTTCTCTGATATATTTAAAAACTAGGATATCCGCCATAGAACTAGAGTAACCGACATATAGCCCAACGGATTGGTAAGTGGAAGTAGCAATGGGTCGGCCATTTAGCTCGAAGAACTGACAACCGATGAGGAAGAATGGTTCTCTGCCACTCTCGAACCTTTTTTCCCCATTGGCCTCGTGCTCGCAGGGGAAGTGTAGGGCATCCCCCCACTAGATGGAGTGACCATTAGATGTGTAAGACATGCAGGAAGTCAGTGGATGCAGATGTCTTGGGACCGTACTTTGTGGCGTTCCTTAGGGGAGGCCTATATTCAACAGAGGACTTGTGAAGGGCTGTAATGATGTAATGATGATTACGAATTTAACAAATAACATAGTTTCTAAGACGTAAGAAACCATGTTATTAATTCTTGAAAATCAAACAACTTAAGGAAAGCCTTAAGATGTTTATTTTTCAAGAATTACGTGTTTCTTTAATGTATTTTTGGTAATAAGATATATTAGATATATATAAATCATGTTTGGATTATGTAACGCGAGGAGTCACATGAACGTTGTGTTTAAAAACTTATCTCTGAGATTACATTGTTTTCTTTAGTCGTTGATTGTTTGCCTGTTAATTCAGCACCGAGAGGATGGAAAGTATTAATTTATGCAGTAAATAATTCATTGTTAAAGACAACCTAATTATACAAAAATACGTCTGTTATATTTAAACAAAACTGTGTACAATTTTATGTATTATTGCAGTATTATATTATAACTAATGTTATAAAAATATTAGGCCAATAAAAACCTACTTTCTTATTTTTTTTCCTACTTATTTTATGTCGCACCAATTCCATTCATCATTAAACTAAAACAAATTTGCAAATATCATACCACTCAATTAAACTGTTATTGCATTAGTAAGGATACAAAATAATAATTTCATTTCTATAAAGTTTCGCTCCTACTCTGCAATGTTAGTTTGGCCTATTTTAATGAACTTTGTACAAGAGTTGCCAACCGTTATTTATGCTTTAGAAATTTTGGAGGAACGAAAACTTACGTAAAAGTTCTGAGTTTTACGTAAGTTTTCGTGCCTCCAAAATTTGTTTTGATTTGTTTTGATTTTTCTCGAATAGAATATCGCAATAATTTATTTGAAAGTAAAAAATTATGTTGGTTGTTATTTACGTACTTATCGCATCGCATCAAATCGATCACTAAACGAATAAATATTGAAATTAATATGTACTCTTAAGTTTTCTGATTCCCCCATATCTCATAAACAGCTACTTCAATATCATGTGTAATAATACCCGATCGAGTACTGAAATCTATAAACTGCAGTACAGTAACCATTCTGCAGATGCATTGCATCAGGTGGATTTTCAGGTCGTTTGTCAGTTTGATGATTGCAATTTTAATTCTGATTTACCACGTGCTCGGTAGTAGGAAAACATTGAGAGGCAACCTCAATGTTCTTCTACAGCTTTTCGAATACATGATGTGAAGCCCGCCAACATTGCATTGGCTCAGCGTGACGGCCTAATTTCGCCATAACCCTCTTTGAGGTAAGACGAAGCCTATTACCAGAAGTAAAGTTACAGCCTATATATGTCTCACAGCTGGGCACAGGCCTCCCCTCATTTCTGAGAGGGTTTTAGGGCAAGGAAGTGTCCGTCGAGCTGCCCCAATGCGTATTGGCGAACTTCACATGTCTCTTCTTCCTCAAACATGCAGGTTTCCTCACGATGTTTTCCTTCACCGCCGAGCACGTGGTAAATCAGCACTTAAAATTGCATTTTAATTTATAAAAACCTAAAATATATTTTAAAGACGAAAAGACCCTACAGAGTTTTATATTTATATAAATTAAAAATTTTTAATACATATAAAATTATATATATATATATATTTGGGGTGATAGAAAAATTAAAATAACTTTTTTATAATTTTACATTAATAAATGAATAAATGATCCGTAATTCACGATTATAAGATAAAATTACCTTAGGGATAACAGCGTAATTTTTTTTAGTTCAAATAAGAAAAAAAGTTTGCGAAACTTTTTTTCTTATTTGAATTTAAATTTTATCTTAATCCAACATCGATGTTACAAAAAATTTAAATGCAAAAGTTTAAAATTTTCGATCTGTTCGAACATTAAAATCTTACATGATCTGAGTTCAAACCGGTGTAAGCCAGGTTGGTTTCTATCTTTAGATTAATAAAATATTTTAGTACGAAAGGATCGAATATTTAAAATAATTTTATTTGGAAGAATTTTATTAATAGTAAATATTTTTAAATATGACTATTTTGATAGAAAAAATTTAAT